TTATTTGTGATCTTGGTTTAAATTGTTTCACTCAATCACAAAACATATTTTTCATTTTTGAAATATTGTCTCTGTTAGCCTTATTTAATCTCCATAGCATCTAGTGTTAAAATATTTGTTCCTACTAAGACATGTAACTTTTATATTCTTTAGGAAAGGTCTCCAAGTATATTTTTTAAAAATTACTGTTTATTAAAATTTGGCAGTCCTTATCATAGAATTATTATTTTCTTATATACAGTAGTAGGTTTCTCATAACAAAGGTCAAGTGTATTTACTTTTTTGTTTCCTTAACTAAATGTAACAACATTGCACATGATTTTGTAAGAATCTTTCAAAACAAAGATGTCAATGAGTTAAAAGATTCATAAGATGAGTGCATATTGATGGAGACATACTGTAGATGGAAGAAGTTATAAAATGACTACAACATTGTGTACAGTGACTCAGAAATAACTGCCTATTAATAAATCCAATGCAATAATTGTGAAGAGAAGTGTAATGATTTTTGAATAAAAGGTAAAATAAAGTCAAATGTGACATGGTAATATGCTTACTTGTATTAGAAATAAAAAATCAATGACCAAATGGCAAAAGCATTTTTTTAAACTTTAAGGATAACCCTTTTCCTAACTTTTAAAATTCAGGGAAAATAGCTGTGTGACATATTTCACACTAAATATTACAGTCATGTGAAAAAGAAATTACACTCTCTTTCAATTCAATGGTTTTACTTATCAGGGCACAAATAATAATTGTCTGGTCCTCACCAACTTCTATAATTACTATAATTAAACAAATATAGCCTCAGATAACAGACAACACATTACAGATTTCACTATGTCATTATTTATTCAACAAAAAGTAGGCCAAAATGCAGAAACTATGTGGGAAAAATTAAGTACACCCTTACTGCTTCGATAAGAAATAAGAAGGTAATTAGCAGCCAGGTGCTGCTAATCAAATGCACTTGATTAGTTTATCATCAGAAAGTGTGACCACCTCTATAAAAGCAGAACTTTTGGCAGCTTGGTGGTCTGGAGAATTCAGGTGTGTGTTAACACCATGCCAAGGAGAAAAGACATCAGCAATGAACTCAGAAAATAAATTGTTGCTGCTCATCAATCTTTGAAGGGTTATAAGGCCATTTCCAAACACTTTGAAATCCATCATTTTACAGTGAGAAGGACTATTTACAAACATGAGAACATTCAAAACAGTTGCCAATCTTCCCAGGAGTGGGCGTCCCAGCAAATTCACCCCCAGGTCAATCCGTAAAAATGCTCAGAGAAATCACAAAGAACCCAAAATCTACATCTAGGGATCTACAAGCCTCGATTAACATGTTAAATGTTAAAGTTCATGACAGTACAATCAGTAAAAGACTGAACAAGTGTGGCTTTCATAGAAGGGTAGCCAAGAGAAAGCTCCTTCTCTCCAAAAAGAACATGGCAGCATGGCTTAGGTTTACACGGTTGTGGAGGGGTGATGATTTGGGCTTGTTTTGCAGCCACAGGACCTGGGCACCTTGCCGAGTCGACTATGAACTTTTCTTTATACCAAAGTTTTCTAAAGACAAATGTGAGGCCGTCTGTCCGAAAGCTAAAGCTTGCCCGAAATTGGGTCATGCAACAGGACAATGATCCCAAGCACACCAGCAAATCTACAACTGAATGGCTGAAAAGAATCAAGGTGTTGGACTGGACAAGACCTCAACTCCATTGAGATGCTGTGGCAGGACCTTAAGAGAGCTGTGCATAAATTAATGCCCTCAAACATCAATGAACTGAAGCAATGTTGTAAAGAAGAGTTGGCCACAATTCCTCCATGTGAGAGACTGATAAACTCATACAGAAAACGATTACTTCAAGTTATTGGTGCTAAAGGTGGTTCAACTAGCTAGTGAATCATGGGGTGTACTTAGTTTTTCAAACATTGCTTCTGCATGTTGGCTTAGTTTTTGTTAAGTTAATAATGAAATAGTGGAATCTGTTATTGTTTGTTACCTGAGGTTAGATTAACCTAATTTTAGGACCTAGTAAGGACCAGATGATTTTTTGTTATGTCCTGATATATAAAACCATAAAATTGAAAGAGGGTGTACTTTATTTTTCACATGTATATCATAAGCAAAATGTAGAACTAACATAACAAGTTGCAAAAATTGTTGCTGAATGAAGCTAAAATAAGCAAAATACAATTTCAGCTATACGAATAAAAAAAAAGTTAAATGTTGTCAATATTACTGATTTTGTTCTTGTCAATATCATATTGCAATTGTATCATATTACTCTCCTACATTTAAATCTTTCCAAAAAAGCATAACTGGATATAATTTTTATTAACACATAACTCAAATATCAATCTGGCTTTAGTGAATACAGTATCTCTATACTACTTCATTGGTAATTGCTGGTTATTAAAAACTTTAAAAGCTGAAGTATTGTTTATTTTGTAACAGTCTTTCTCATCTCTGGTTATTATTACTTGTGTCACGGATGTCGGAAACAAATGCAGTGGAATGGCCAGGAGAGCAAAAAAGACTCAATGCATAGCAGCAAAACGTGGGTTAGCCCGGGCTCAGGAGGTCGGACGATGTCGGGTAGAAACCTATGCTCTTAGGCCGTGGAGGAGATGACATGGTGCTAGGCGGATCTCAAGACATCCGAACCCTCAATGTTGAGCAAAGAGGAAAGGGTGACAGGAAATATTTAGCCCCCAAACAAAAACACACCGGAAGGACAAGCAAAACACAGGGAAACTAGGAACAGGACAGAATGGGAGCACCCTCTAGCTGTAGAGGGCATGACAACTTGCTTTAGAGTTAGAAAAAGAGTTCAAGAAAACAATTTGTAGGACCAGAACTGAGGAATATTGTTACAATTTGTAAGTGACAATTGAAACCTCTTTAGACTATGGATAACACCTGGCTATTATCAACACTTCAAGTTCTTGGGAGCTTCAAAACAAGAAGTTTGATGAGAAGTAGGGGTGTGAGATTCAGTGATCAAAGCATCAGAAATCTCAAAGTTACCATAACTTTTACATTGGTCTGTTTTATTTAATAAAAGTTTAGAAAAACTTATTAAAACATTTAGAGCATAATTAACAGTCCAGGAACACAGCATAAAAACAGGTAGACAGGAGGAATGACAAGGGATAGAAAGGAAGAAGGTGAGAGCTTCTTTTCCTAATAATCCATAAAGATAAGATTGGAGTTAAGTATTTGAAATTTGTTTAGAGAGCTTGCTATTCTTTTTAGGAACTTCAATTTCCCACATGAAGAATCTCTCAGTTAAAAATAGACTCTCCTGGTTAGTGGTGTATTTTTAGAATAGGAGATAGGTTCCCATTCATTTTGTAGCATCTGAGTTTGCAGTGAAAGATTTAAATGTAGGTTGTATGCTGTTTTCTTTAGACAGCTTTCTCTTCTTTTGGTCTCTATAAGGCCTATATAAGAGTTTGAATACTTTGTAGCAATCTGTAATTTTCCTGGGTGGTCAGGACATAGGCCTCTTGGAAGCCTTCTGTGTAAATTTGTAAATAGTGTAACCTGTATGGTGTATGTTTATGTTGAGTGTAGTTTAGTATGTTTCTTGTCATAACCCAGTTTGTCTGAATTATTACTCGTTTCACCAAAGCTATGGCAGAGAATAAAAAGCTCAGGTGCCTGTAATTATACCAACCACAAAAGTATATAAATTTACAAGTTTGGGGATATGATTATTTAATTTACTTATTGATTAATCTGTTCAGTTGTTTCCGATATTCACCATCTTACACTATTTGTAACAATCTTAAATATGAACAAAGGATATGTATACTGCTACAGATGTAGTAAAAACTGGTAATAAATTTAAACTGGCATTAAACAGAATTTCATTAAGCCCACCTTGTCTTACTCTACTTCATATTAAAAAGGGGAGACAAAATAAGAAGGAAACAGTGAAAGGCACTCTTAAGAAAATGGACCACTATTCACACTCCATTTACAATGGCAATGATACCTATTTTGTGCAAGCTATAAAAATCTGTTTGAAAAGAAAAGCATAAATGAAAAAAAAATAATTCAAGTAATAACAAAACTAGTCATTACCATGTGATCCCTTTTACACTCACACATATACAAACATATGCTGTCATAAAAATTGGAAATATTGAAATGTCACTGGCCAAATTGTAAGGTGGCATGCTGTATTTTCTCTTTTTTAGAGCAACCAACAGAACTTTGGTTTGGAGTGGTCACATACCACTCATAAGTGACCATGTTTGTATGTTGTCACAATAAGGAATATCCCAATCATATTTTCCTCTACTGACATTATAACTCTTCTTTACAACTTAAAGTGCTATGCAGCAGCAATGAGAAAGCTGCTACTACTAGAACAACTGCAAACCTGCAAAAAGGCAACTATTTAATGTCTCTGAGAAAAATTTATTTAATTCTTTCTGCTGATTATTGTGTAAATCTTTTATTAAAAAATGTAATACATAATCTAATTGCATTTAATTATCTCTATATTAATATTTAATTAATAAATAAATGTATAGAGATACATTACTCTAAATATACCATATTCGGCTTTTAATAAACAGATCTGTTTATTTGTGGAGCATGTGTAACCAATGGGGAGACATACAGCTGACTTGCTTGCCATTTAACAAGCAGAGCAACATTTATAATCAATAATGGGTGAAATCAATTTGGCATACCATTTCAAAACAAAGTCTAAGCTGGCAATCTGCTTTTAGACACATCATAAGTGCCTTGATATTGTTTCTTTTCACAATGCCAATTTCACTCAGACAGTTTTGTACAAGATAATTTAATAAAATCAGGCTTTAGTCAATAAATTACTCTATACTACTTAATTGTTAATTACTAGTTATCATGTTGATTTTAATCCAATGTAAAATAAAGTTGATGAGATTTAGTGTAATATTATAATGTACATCATTTTATTATACATTAAAACAAATAAGATTAAAATTCTACATACCTATCTATAATCCCACACAAGTCCATTTGCAGGTCACTGAAATTTCCGACGAGTTTTTGTTGCACCTTGATCAGATCTACAGCATTATTGTCAATGTAAATAAGTCTCATACATCCTTGAAAAACATTAAATGGGTTTTTGCATTGTTGATCAATTTTCATGCCAGGACAGCCTGTGGCCAAAGCAACAACAGTGTGAATGAATCAACCAATCAACAAAATATTAATCCAACAATAAAACTATGTAATTAAGAATTTCTCAATATTTTATATTTTATATTCTCAATATTTATTTCTGATTCAGATGAAAACTGAAGTTCTGTGCAATATTTAATAGGAAAAGGAACCTACAGTACTGATTGTCCTTAGATCCCATTTGTACTTAATAGATAACAGGTCGTCAGTCACTATTTTAATCTTGAAAACATGACAAATGAAATAATATTTTAAATGTATAATGTTTTATTAGATTTTGGCTCCTTAATGATAATTTCATAATAATGTATAAAAACATACTGGAATGAAAAATGAAAACAAAAAGGCATTCTGTGCCCCAATACCACACAACAGTGGAAGTGTATAGGGATTGTGCCTAAAATCTCTGGCAAAAGTTGTAACAGAGCTAGTAAAGAATAAAAAATTGAGAATCCATATTTGGAAGGAAATAAGTTTTTTTGAAATATTAGAATTATCCATGACAATGTATTGCATATATATTATAAAAATATATCAGTGCTTTCCAAAATGGAGCATCAAAGACACACAGAATAGCATCTGAACTACTTGATTGATGGTATGTCTTATATAGCAAAAATAAAACAAGCTGAATTCACTGCCTGAATTTTACTAAAATACAGACTGCTACCCTAAGACACACAAATTATGATTATTTTACAGTAGGTGTTAATCATGGATTACATAAGACTGATTTCTGTTTTAATTGTTGCTTACATAAGACTTCTTACTCTTCTTACTGCTTACTTCATTCTTACTCTCAGTACTGAAGTTCAACTCTAACTTTTTGAAGAACAATTTCTCAAAGAATCTAGTTTGTTTAATCTAAGAAAGATTCATTAGTTTTTCACCCCTGTTAACTGACTTTCAAGCTTTATAGATACCAGAGATATTCTGTCATTCAGCGTTTGCCTTTTTAAAGGTCACCTAACTGAAAAAAATATCAGTGCTTTTTAAAGTTCTCATTTTTTGTGGACTATGTGTCTTAGGTTTACATCTTAAAACAGAAATGGAAAGTTTTCACATTTGCTGTTTTAGTAATTTATTCTTACCACCAAAAAAGTACTGGCTTCCAGAAATAATATAGGTCTGTGATGTGGCATAGGCAGCTGACCCCGGGTCCCTGTCAACAGTGATGCTTAAATGATTTCTTCTTGCATTGAACTCAATAGAATGCCATTGTCCATCATTCAAACTGGATCCTGTAAATAACAAAAGTTCAGTAAATGTTTAAGAGTATGGGAGTTAGGTCTCATATTGTCAGAATGAAGAATTATACTTTGAATTCTGATTTCTCATTTTAATTATTTTGTATGGTTAAATATATTATATAAATTATATATATATAAAATTCTCATATATAAATAATAATTCACAAAATAATAATTAGTTGCATTCAAAATATGAAGGAAAACCTGTACAGTAAGTATTATAAGGACTATTTTAAAAATTATTTTAAAAAATTACCTGTAGTGACATCAGTAAAGATCCTCCCAGATTTGGAGATTTGGATCTTAATCTTGCCCTCACTGAGATGAAGCCACAGGGTTCCTAAACCTTGATATAATTCAGTTGTTAGGAGCAATCCAGCTTTGTTCCAAGTTCTGAATTGGAAGCTGACTTTCATTTCTTTCTGTGGAGTTCCTGGTAATTGAAGGTAACTTCCAGAGCTTACAAAAGTTACAGGAACATTTGGTGGTTCAGAACAGGTAAATATCACATTGCCCTGTAAAACAAATTAGTTAATTTCATTTAATTGAAACTTGGATTTTATTCTTCAAACAAATGCAGTGCTGTTTCCTTTGAGGCTACTGTTAATGTTATCATTTATGCATGTTTTCACAAGCATAGATCTTTAGTGGTGTATAATAGTATAGCTTTATTATGTTATTAATATTTCTATATAATTGTATTTTATTATAAAGTCTGATAATAAATTAATAAAATTACTAAAAAAAGATGAGTTCTTCAAGGAGTCACGTTTGTCTAAATGGATTCTTAAAGTCTAAGACATTTTAACCCATTAGAAGGGAAAATGTCTTTAATGAGTATCAGTAAGATTTTCTACCAGTAGAAAAAAGGGAAGATGGTTTACTAATGAGTAAATGAATATTTTTTTTTAGAATAAGAAACCTAATTTTATAGATTAGGTACATGTACATACCAGTAAGTATAACATGTAAACAGCAGACCCCTTCAGTACTGAGGAATGTCTGGAAAATTCTGTATTGTGCTTACAATTTTCAACTTAGAAGAAACTATGAAATGTGCAGCACTATAACTTTTGTATTTGACAAAAAAGGACCATCAAATTGTAATCTTAGTCTTAAAAATATCTTCTGAAATATACATATAGGTAAGGTTTGACTTATTCAAGGATAATTTAAAGAATTTTCAGTCTGCTTGAAACTTAGCATCATGCTAAAGCGAGAGTATATCCCAAGGTCTGTTCCTACTTCAGCATGTAGCTCAGTGCATAACCTGAATTAGATACTGTATTTACAGCCATTTACCTTTTACTTTGCTAGGTATACATTATTATTATTTACAGTATGAACAATGCATTTGTACTATGTTGTAATTGCATAGAATTATAAAATTAATGAAAAAAACTGTCTTTGGTAATAATTGATCCCCTAAATTAAAACATTTTCTTACATGAGCATATACCATAAACATAATCTTAGTATACTATTTATAAGGTGTGGCAGGAGATGCTTGTCCACAAGAAGGACAGAATAGTTGGAAGAATATGGCCAGATACAGCTCCATACACTGATACATAATGTAAAATAATAGTATACATTTTGCATCACTTATGCATTATACACATACCTCTATTATGTTATTTGCATTACTGAACATATATGTTTATTTATTAAGTGGTATTGTGTCTTCTTATATTAATGTTTATCCCAAGTCATGTACTTTAATAAAAATTCCCAGTAGTTCAGTATTCAGTATTAGAGTCGAGTTAAAATTGAAAGTCATTATAGAAAACAAAGTTTTAGCTAAAGCAAAAACAGTGAAAAGGTTGCACTTCAGTAAAAAAAATTTGCCGGGCTGTTTTCACATGACTGAAAGTGGTTTGTGAGAGTGTTTGTACAGTGAATGGAATGCTTTGCTTCAGTAATCAGCGGACTAGACCAGAGAAACCATGATATTGGCTTTGTGAGGCACAGGGTATGTTATGGAAAGTGTTACTATGTCACATCCATTTAAAGTATCTGCTTAATTGTTCTCAGACAGCAGTGGCTACAGTACACAGTACAAAAAACTGCCTGCATGATTGAGCTAAATCTTCAGAGACTGTTTACGGGTAACATGATGTTAGAATTGAGATGAAATTTATGCCTTATGTGGTCATAGAATATTTGAAGTGATGGCAAAAACAGTAGTGTAATGATATTTTGGTAAATGTTATGCTGACAGCTGCACTGCTCAAGCCCTTCTGGATGGTGATTTGAGGAGAACTCTTTTAATACAACAATGCCTGTGGTGCAAAGTACAGTTCAGTAACTGATAAAATCCTTAAGCTAACAGTTATTCAATTTTTGTTAGGACAACATGCTCCTCACAGGTCCAGACTTAAACAAGTCTTCTGGGAGTCCTGATGTGCTTTTGGTAGTTTATCTTGTCCACACCAAATTGTGTTTTCAGGGGGTTTTCAATGATATTTAATATTTTGTGGAGTTTGTTTCCAGTACAGCTATAACTAGATGTGGAAATAGAAAGAAAAAAAGTATAATAATCAAAATACTATAATGGGCCGAAAGGTTTTGGCTCATTTGCAGTTTATTTTGTGATGTTATGAATTAACATTTTAGTATAATAGAAATCCAAACTTTCTAAAACTAGAAATTCTTGATTGCAATTCATTTCAAAACTGGCTTTTTCAGTGATGACAATGTAGTTGCAAATAGTTGCACACATATTTGTATCTGAACCACATCAGTTCAAATTAAGCAATTAAGCATACAGCTACAAATAGTTTGCTTTGTCTTGGCTCTAAATCAGGTGTGAAAATGTGTTCAAACTTAAGATGTTTTATGCCCTTCAGCCAGCAAGTAAATTCACATATGTAATATTATGGTTGTGTGAAGAATATATACTGGATTTGTACAGTATTGAAATATCCATGCTGTACAACTTTATGAAGTGTAGACAGATTTTTCCTAATATTATATGTTTTAAGTTAGTCTTCTTAAATACATTACATAATGCAAATATCATTAAAGCGTTATGTAAATTATCTAACTCCTATGCATTCTATTTATCAGACTTTCACCTAGAAACCCATTGTTTTATGTTTCTGTACACAGAATGGAAACACTTACCATAATAAGTATCTGAGATCTCTGTTTGGCAGCCAGTTCTATAATATTCACTCCATTGTAACACAGATTCTCCAAGCATCCTTGAAAGTATTCCTTCAAAAACGTTCCTGATTTTCGATGACCCGGAACACCTCCAAAGCTAAGCTTATGAAACAATATGTAAACAATAAAATGTAAGACTTCTAAAAAGCAAACGTTTCTTTCATTGTTCAACATTTAAAAAAATTTTTTTTTTAATACAAAGTTTCCTTTAGCTACCCCAAAAAGTAATGAATAGCAATATCAGAAACAAATACAGTACATATACAGTAATGTTATGAACATCTCTAATATTTGTCACACTTTTAAAGAGAGTGCAAAACCTAAGATATGTATCATGGCTTAGGCTTCTTTAAAAATAGGAGTCACATATTTTGTTCAAAAATTGTGTGGGGGGCATTCCATCTAGGACTAATGTTGATGGCAAGGTGATGGGCTTGTTGGAGTCTTGGAGTTGCATGTTTTCAAAGCCAATTCCATGTTACCAGAAAAACAATAAGCCTGGTATGTGGAGTATTCTTGAAATATTCTGTATTGGACAGGTGATAAAATTGTATATTTCACAAAAGATCAAAAAGGCTCACCTCTGTTAATGTGTAGAAATACAGAAAAATCTTAATTATTTGCATTTAAACAATATTAAAATGTTAAAAGTTAGCAGGATGTTATCATACTATGCTAAAAAGGCTTAAACAATACTTATATTTAGTAAAAAATATTAATTTAATATTTCTGAAGTCCATTAAGATAACAATTCTTTACACAGAACTATCAGTGAAATAGAAGAAGTCTATTACTTCTTCTGTACATTAATGAGAGTGTTATTAATTTCCTCATGTTTCTATTGCTCTTTTGATTGCGATGCTGTCATTGAGATTACTTTGAAATGGCAAAGTTGGGGTAAAAATAAAAAGTGTGATATAAACAGTTTTTTAGTTTTCACCAGTGTTTGATAACCAAATCAATAAATGCTAGACAAGTACACTGTAATTCAAAATGAGGAAGTAAAAACAGAGTTACATTACACAACGTAAGCCATTATTTTTTCTGAATGCTTTACACTCTGAATGATTTGTTAGAAAGTGATTTTGTGTTGTTACATTTGTTGACAATGTGAAAATATAAGAATAGATCAAAACATCACACCTCATTGTTAATACTTAAATGGCTAAAGTCTCCATTAATTTCAAACTGCTGTGTACTTTTGTCCACAGTGAAATTTATATGCTTGTTAATACGTTCAATGACAACAGAGTGCCAGTGCTGGTCATCCAGTAGACTTCCAAGTGTCACCACTGTATTGTCTGCAGAAATGGATGTTGATTGGCCTGCAACAACAAATAAAATATTAACACAATTACAAGATGTATATTATTTTTCTCTTTCTGTTGGCTCAATCAAGAAAGATCAAGAAAGATAGCCAGGCCATAGGGTAAGTAAAAAGAGAAAGTTAACCTTAGATTACAACAGTGTAACATTTTTATTAACACGTGTCTTCAATGTGTAGAAATCCTTAATGGTATTGACAAAGTTTAACCAGCGGATTTCTTCCAAATAAACATGAACCGAAGGACACAAGTTAAAACAATACGGAAATGAATTTGAAATCAAGAAAAGGAGGCACTTTCAATAAATGACGTATATTCTAGTACCTCCTACATCCATTTTTGCCTGGAAATCTCTCCCCTTAAATATTTAGTTTTATCTCTGCAACAGAACATAGCAGAAGCCTGGTTCAGGTCTTAAAATCCAGGTGGATCCAGGTGGATGCTGCACATTGGTGGTGGTGGAGGGGAGTCTCCATTACCTGTAAAGTGCTTTGAGTGGAGTGTCCAGAAAAGCGCTATATAAGTGTAAGCAATTATTATTATTATTATTATTATTAAATTGAAACTAACCCCCTTGGCTTTCAGTGTGATTACTTTTATCTCTTTATGTGTCCACTCAGCAGACAAAGATATGTAAAAAATCCCCAAAAAACAGCAGGCAAAATTGTTTTTTGGTTTTCAGAGGTCAAATCTTTTCATTTCTAGGTCTGCTAGGGTTTTCAAAAAACTTGTAGGACTTCTCTGAGGTGTCTTCAAGCTTGAATAAAAATGTGGGACAAATTCATGAATTCGAAAAAAATTTTCAAGACTGGACCTGGAATGAAATTTTTCACCACCCCAAAAAATTTATAAAAGTTATTGGAAAGCCAAGAAAAATAGGGAAAAACCTATTGCAAGTGGTATAAAATGCCTCTAGGCGCTGCTGTTAGGCATTGAAAAAAAAGTGAAGAGTGGCCTTCAGTTGTAAAACAATGACCACTGATTGATTACCCCTTCTGTGTCAATGATTGACAGCTGGAATGCAGGCAAAAGGCAGCCAGAGACTTCCTGAAGAAGTTCCATCCTCTAAGGCAGTGGTTCTCAAACTATGGTACTACAGAGCGCCCCCAGGTGATATGCCAGATGACCCTGAAAATTTGTTGCGTGCACTGAAAAATTGGGAATTAAAAATTGAATTATTAAAAATTATGTAAATTTTTCATCTGTAATTTACTTAATCAGTTTTAGAAAGCCTAAGACGGGTTTTCATATTTTTTTCTATTTTAATAAAATTAGTTTATGTGTCAAATACGCAGCCTACGTACTTAGTACGTTGATACAGTGCGCTAATACTTGAGTGACCGTGATCCTCTTGAGCTTTTTAGAGTTACAGCTTAGCGCCACATTCACCAAAAGAACAAGTGATCGAAAATGAATACCTTGCAAAAATCAAGTATTATGTCTTGGCTGAAAGGAATAGACACCAAAAGTACTGATGCCATCTCCGATAGATCACGCACACCAATTGAGAATGAGGAGGACTATACATCGGCCACTAGGGTTACCATATTTGTACATAAAAAAAAGAGGACACCCCGAGAAATGTTCCTTTTGCCCTATCTGGGAAGGGGGTAGGGATGGAGAGGGTTTTCAAAATATCCCAAATTTTATGTTCTTTGGTAAAGTAAGTGTGATGTGATGATGTTTAACTGTGTGAAATGCCTAAGTCCCCACTGCTGCAATAACAGCATCCTCTGTTTTGCTGCCAGATTTTATAAAAGAATCTGTTAATATGGTTGACAAACTCCTTTTTGTGTTTGTCTGAGTCAACATGAGCTTGCAAGTCAAGTACAACTTTATTTGCCACAGAGACAAAAGTTCCAGGCTAACATACCAAACATTCAGCTTCCCAGTCTTCTGTGCCACTTCAAAAACACGGTAATTTAATTTTTAGTTGTGCTGTGAATTTGCACTTTCACTTTTTTGCATTGTGTTTGAGGGTAGGAAAACGAGAAACAAAATAGGGAGCCTTTCGAGGGAATGCTTCTGCACTGCACAGACTGAGTAAAGACACTGATATTGATGCCGCAGCTACCCACCTGAACTACTTGGATACTTTGATTTGATCAGGGGTGGTACTTGGTCCAAAAAGTTTGAGAACCATTGCCCTAAGGGCTCTGAGTAGTTGAAAACACAATGAATGACAGTGTTTTTCACTAATCAGACCAGCATCCTTCAGGCGGTCAGCTTCAAAATTCGATTCCAATAGCCAATAACTTTCAGTCATCTCCAGGTCTGGAGATGGGTCAGGCTAGCATTTTATGGATATATAACTTACTTCCAAACATGGGATATATGATGTTTTACTGGTTTTTACTTTTGGGTAATGTTTTGCTGGTTTATTCACTACTTATTGACGCACTTTGGAAGTTTGCTGAAGAGCATCATCAGATAAACAGTATTACTGTGATCGATTTCCTTGATGGGTTTCAGTTCTGAAAACTGTTTTGTGAAGCTCCAGTTGTCTATATTCGATTGATATGAGGTTTTCTGTAAAGGTTTTGTGTTTTTTTTTTGTTAAAAAGGATGAAATGAGACACGCATACTAATGCTAATAATAGACTACCTGGTGCCCTCCAGAGGTCACTCGGAGCGTAAAGGGGTCTTCACATCAATTGGCTATTACCATAAAGGCTAGTTGGGTTGACTGTCCTTTTTTAATTCGTAACCTTATTAATTTTCTAGGTTAATCTGGGTGTTCTGTATGCATATTAAGCAAGAAAATTACTCTACAATCTTCCATCCATTTTCTAACTTCTTTATCCAATATAGGGTAATGGACGAGCCGGAGCCTATCCTGGCAAGTAACAGGTAAAGGCAGGCTACACACTGAATATGATGCCAGTCCATCACAGGACATATACAGACAGAGACACACACTCACACCAGGGCCAGTTTTACTGAAAGCCAATTAACTTATCAGTTTGTCTTTTGGCTGTCGGTAGAAACCGGAGATCTTGGAGGAAACCAACACAAACACAGGGAGATCATACAAACACCACACAAATAGTACGCCAGGAAATGAACCCAGAGACCCAGAACTGCTAGATCAACTTAAATAAGTGTACCAGGGTTGCCCAACCCTAAACAACAAAGACTCCTCTTTGATTCTGTATTTTATAGTGTAATGAAACTAAATCAAACTTTTTCAATGGCACCCATCAGAGCACATTTTATTTATTTCTGCACAAATATTCCTAATATTATATATATGCATATATGTAGTTTATATAGTACAGTGTCTATAACACTTTTGAATTGCTGATGTAGTGATTTGTTTATAAAAAAAGGACAGTAAGAAGTTAAGAAGTTGATGGATCAAATGGCTATAATACAAGGCAATATAAGAAATCTCTTTCAACAACAGAAGAAATTAAAGGTCCTGGAATGTTTGTGTTTGTGGTTATACTTCTAAAAATGTGTATTTGTTTTGTCGCACATAGTGCCCGTTTATGTTAAAGTGATGTTAAATGTTATATTTTAGGGTTACTGCATTATAACACTTTTTGGGCAGGTTTTTGCCATTCTAAGACATGTGTCTTGTGCGGTACGTGATTGGTTGACCGACAGGGGCACTCGTGGTCCGTTGGTCTGTCGTAGAAAGATTTACAGTAAACGTCTTTTACCGTTGTAGTATTTAATATTTATATGGAATTTTACCCCTGAAGGGAAGTCTTAGTGCCTGAGCATAAAAAGAATAGGAGCATACTGCAACGCGTGTGAAGGCCATAAACGAT